TATAAAAAGCAAATATTTAAACTTTTTTTTTTAAAGGAGGATCTCCTATGACTTTGGGATAACAAACGATTTCTTAAATAAGCTTGATAACCACAAACCATAAGGAAAAGACTGATAAATTTGCATTAAACACCTGTTCATCAAAACAACTTTTTTTAAAAGATAAAAAATAGGACACAAATAGAATCCAGCATATATAAAGAACTTCTACAAAGCTATAAAAAGGACAACCCAGGCAACAAATGGACAAACAATTTAAGAATGCAATGTATAGAGAAGGAAACCTAAGTGGCCAATAAGCAGATAAAAAAATACTCAAACTCATCAGTAATCGAGATGCAAATTAAAACAGTGAGACAGTTCATATCTACTCAATTGACAACAATTAAAAAGTCAGAAGACACAAAGGATTATCAAGGACATGAAGAACCAAACATTTGGGAAATAACTTTTACAACAGTTCTGAGGCTGGAACCAGCCACCCTATGACCCCACTCCCACTTGCAGGTGCAGGTCCACTCTCTCCTGGGTGCCCAGCACAGAGGGAAGGTGGCCTAGTGGGACAGGGCAAGTAGCAGGGATGCAGGCTGTGCAGACAGCTAAAAGGAGGACTTAAGTGGACCCAGGCAGATAAGACAATACCAGATGCCAGTCTTGCCAGGAGTTAAACTGGGCATCACCACCATGCTAACCTGGGCAACCTCCAACCAAACAGCAGCTGGATGGTTTCATCTTCTACAGCCAATCAGATCGTGTTGTTTCCTCTAAACTTCACCAGCTAAAACTTCCTAGAGCAGAGTCCCAAATTGTGCTATTATCCTGTGGCTACTCTGTAATTTTTACAAATTTAGTGGCTTAACACAACACAAACTAGTTACCTTAAGACTTATACCCATCTATACCCAAACAATCAAAACTCAGCCAAAGGCCACCTCCTCTTTGAAGCCTTCTCTGATTCCCAGCCTAAATGAATCACCCTTCTCTCCTCAAAACACCAACCCAGTTATGGGTGTGTCCCACTGCAGCTCTCAGTGTGGCCCCTGACCATCTGCTTACATGCCCCCTTCCCAGTCTGAAGCGAGGAGGAGTCCTTCAATGGTAAGTACTCTATCTCACATCCCTGTGGGCTCTCACAGCACAGGGCCTGGCAAAGAGGAGGTGATCACAGAGTATTTCTGAAGCTTGGAGGAGTCAGAAGGAAGTTGCCCTGAGTTTCCCACAACAAAACAGATGTCACAGCGTAACCTGGATAAACTGCACAGCTGACGGGGCCAAAGAACTAGTACAGAAGTTCATGACAAAAACCCGTTAGCAATCCACTGCTTAATTTGATGCACAATTTACTATTACATGGAAGAACCTCTGTACCACAAGCAACACCTATTATTTTTTATTGCTAACCTGTGGGCAGTTCTAAAGGAACAGACAAAATTAACCCCAAAAGAAACAGAGGACTTACCTGAAATGATTTACAAAGATGTCCTCAAAATTACAGATGAAAGAGCTGTTGCTCCAACACAGCAGGAAGGCCTGGCAACTGACTGAGAGCCCCACCACATATGCAGAGGGCGCCATCTCTCTCCATAATGGCTGAGAGGCCCCAGGGAGCTACAACAGACCTTGTTTAGGGACAAACAGACTGTCTTTGAGGGTATATATTATGATAAAGGATACTTGTTTTAGAGGGTGGTTGTTAAGGAAACAGAGTTCCATTTAACTTCAAAGGTTTCTTACTTGACGTACAGACTCTATCTAGCAAGGAAATTCCCACCTAGGGAGAACACTGAGCAATGGAAAAGGAATGCCGAGTTAGCACAATTATTCATCTTAAAAACAGAGACAATAACATGGCTTGAGTTTTTAAAAGACACACTTCCATTCAGGTTCAGTAGAACTCCCCTATTCACGTTTTCTTTAACAGTATGAATTCTGAAATTCGTTTTAGAACATATTCCAAAAGCACTCTTACCCTGGAAAAGAAATCTGAGATGAAAAAAAAAACAGAAACAGAGCGACACACATTCAGCACCATGGACAGTGGGCCTGGAACTCAGCTGTAAGAGTCTTTGCCACGAGTATTGAGAACTGAGCAGCAACAGAACTGCTCCAAAGTCTACGGTAGTCATTCATTCTAATGTTTAAGTTGTAGATGATTCCAGAATACTAGCAGCTATTTTTCTTTGATATGGCCAGTGAACAAGCCTTCTTCACCAAAGGGATGTACAACTCCCATCTACCAAGATCTCCTTCAGTGATCACTTTTAAAGATGTGAGATTTCTGTGAAAATAGGAAATGACTTTGCCACTGACACATGGCTACAGGTCCAGGAACTGAAATTATTGAAACTGAAACACAGCATCCACCCTTGAATGACTAGATTATTTCAAGGACCTCATGGGACTTATGTAAATATAACTACATCATGCTCTCAGCCTCCCTCAAATGACAGGAAAAAAAGAAAGCTTCTTTCTAAACATCTAACAAAATGAACCCATGTGTTGAAATGTTCCTATAAATATCTGAGAAATGCAACTATCAAGTTGTGTATGCTCTCCAGCCCTGAGCACTAATGAAGGTAAGTGGAAAAGTAATGTTCTGAGGTCCAATACGACTGCTAATGGGCACCACCTGCACTAACACCCGTCCACAGCCCTGGATTCTACACAGGCTGCCCAATCCTGTCAGTTATAAAGACCCCTTTATAATCAAGCTTCCTCAACACCTTAGAACGTGGAGTATTAACTAAGGAAATACATGAAGATATATATGAACCCTAAAGCACCGGGAACAAACAGGCACTGTGTACACAAGAGCATGTACCTACCAGTAAAAACAGCAGTGCTCAAAATAGCAGTTGGTCAGTGACTGCGCTTAAGTCTGAAAGACCCCTTTAGTTTCCGTGGGCCTCCATATCTAGAAACACCATCCACAACTACTTCAGTGCCTCCAGGTGCAGATCGGTGAGGGTCTGTATCTTGCAGACAGACTTGCAGAGCACCACTGTTTGTAAGCAGTCTCTTGGGACCACGATGGGCATCTCTGAAACATTTTACGATGACAGATTGTCGGTGCATAAGGGGACTGGGACCAGTTCTCTTCAACAGGGATGCATCCTTGCACACTTCCTCTGGTTCCCACATCGAGGGCAAATTAAAAGAGTAGCAAAGGGGGCACGGTTAAATTTCAGATGTGTGAAGGCCTGTGTCAGAGAAGAGTCTGCACCGGAGGGTCTACATACGCCCCAGTCTAGTCCCCAAGGCCCGCAGCTGTCCTTTCCCTCCCGGTTAGTCACACACCATAAATCCTTGCCAGCGGAGAGTGCCCTTAGCTCACAGCAGGGCAGGAAGCCCCAGACGCCCCTGTCGCCTTGAAGGAAGGTAGGAAGATGATAACCTGAGCGATGACATTTAAGACCTGACTTTCTGCTAACTTTCAAATGTGTTATGCAAGTAACATACTTCAGAGTAGGAAGAAAAGAATCAGAAACGCCAGGAGGTGAAAACCACTTTCGCTAAACAACACTTTCGAGCAGACACCCGTGGGAACAGTAAGAGGCAAGTCTGACCGCCCCGTAACGGAAGAAGGAGACAGCGACCTAAGAAAGGGCCGCGCACCGGCCCCAGCGACCTGCTCCTCGCCCCCGCGCAGGCCCGGGCAGGACTGGCGAGGGACGGCCGGGCCCTCTTCCCCGCGCCCGGGCGCGGCTCACAGCACCGAGAAGCCCCGCGGCCCCGCCCGCCCGCGGCGGACGCTTCTTCCCCAGAGTCCTTCTCAGGCATGAGCGACGAGACTGCGAGCGCCCAGAGATTCAAGCCTCCGAAGTCCTCCGCAGGACCGAATCGCGGGGAAGAGGACGCGGGCTGGGCGGCGGGCCCGCGGACGCCCTCGTGAGCGCGCGGGTCCGGCTCCCACCTCCCGGGCAGGGAGCGCGGGGCGCGGGGGTTCGCGCTCCGCCCGAAGCCACTTCACCGCCTGGTCTTTAAACCCTGCCCGCGCCCGGCTTCCGTCCAGCTCCGGCTGCGTGGCGAGCTCGCGGCCGCCGGCCGGGCGCTGACGGGCGGGGGTGCGAGGCCGCCGGGCCCCGGGGGAGCACGGGGGGCGGACCAGGGCCGCGCGCGGGACCCCGGCCCCCTCCCCGCCCCGCGGCCTCGGCCCCCGGCCCGCCCGCCCCGCGCCGAGGCTGCCGGCCGAGTAGGGCCGGGGAGCGGGGCTCGCGCTCTCCGTCTCCGGGCTGGGGGCTCGGCGGGCCGGGACGCGCGCCCCTTCTGGAAGCCCCGAGGGCAAGGTGGTGGCCGCAGGAAGGGTCCCCGACGCCCACTCCGACCTCCAGCCGCGACCCAGAACCACGACCAGGACCCCAGTCGTCGCCGTCGCCCGCCACCACTCACTCACCTCTCCCGCGGCAGGAGGCGTGCCCGCTGGCCGGCCGGCAGGAACTCGGCGCGGGGCCGCGGGCTGGTACCGGGAAGAGGAAGGCCGCAGCGGCGGAACCTGAGGCGACCGAATCTGAGGCGACTGAGGCGACCGAGGCGACTGAGGTGGCAGCAGCGGTTCCTTACACTCCTGCCGACTCTCTGCGCGCGGCGCGGGCCCACCCGCTCTGCGCCGCTGACCAATCCCGTGCCGCCCGCTGTCTCAGGCCCCGCCCCCGCCCAAGTGCGGCAGGTGGTGGGGTGCCTCCGAAAGCGCGCGCCGCAGACCAATCGAATGGCGGAACAACGACAGGCGAGACCAATCGGAGCCCGGAAAGCTCTACCAAACAAACCAATTAGCGTCTCGGGGACGGGGCCAATGACGATGGAGGTGGTACAGAAAAAATTCTTGGACAGGGGAGGAGGCGTGGTCTCAGGCAGGCGGCTCAGTAGCCCACTGTGGGGAAACAGGCGGCCGGGCCATAAATGGAAAACGGCCATGGGCGGAGCTGCGGCGGACCCAAGGAGGGGCGGAGTCGTGAGTGGAAAAAGGGGTAGCAACGGGCAGGTGACTGCTGTGGGCGGTGCTAGGAGCGAACCACGTGAGGATGGCCGGGGCGCGTCCCGCCGTGGGCGTGGCCACGAGTGGGGGCAGGTCCGGGGACGCGAGAGCCGCCTGCTGCTGGCCAGGGACGCGGCTTGGGACCCGGAGCTGGGGCGTGTCCCTGGACTGGCGGGTGCGTGGTCTGGGTCGGCCGCGGTCGGGGAGGCGGGGCCGGCCACAGGTGGGGCCGGGAACGCGTCGCCAGCCAGGCGTGGCCTGGGGAGGGTCCCTGGGCGTGGAGGGGGCGGATCCGAGGCGGAGGCGTAGCCACAGGTGAGAGAGGTCAGGACCCCGGAGGGCGGGGCCGAGCCCGCCGCTGCCCTTACGCGCGCCGCCCCGCGTGCCTCCCCAGCCCACCCAGCACGCGTGGCTGCGCTCAGACATTTTCCAGTGACCCGAGGAGGGTGGCTAGGTGTCCTCGGGGGTTCGTCGCTTTGCTGTCCCCGGTTCGTCCTGCGCCGCCTTCTGCGGCGTTGCTGCCATTGCGCTCGTCTCCCTAGACTTGAACCCTCGTGTCTCCTTGCGTAGGACCAGTTCTTAGCGAGGGGCCGTGCTTCAACGCAGCGCCGACGGGCTCTAACTGGGTCTGGGGCACCGCGGCAGCCTGATGTCCAGACGCCCAGCCCGCATGCTCCCCGAGCCACGGGACGCAACTCGGTCTTGCCCCCTCCTTACGTCTCGGAGCGAGGAGAGCGGGCGGCTGCCCCGCGGGTGCAGCCCTGTGCACCCGGCCTGGGGACCGACCTGTTGTGTCTTCCCCGTGCAGCCAGGCTAGCCCCTAGCCCGGATGCAGGCATTTTCCTGGCGCCTCCTCTGCGAACCCTCTCCTTCGTTGGCCGCTGGAAGCCCACCCACTCAAAGATCACAGTTATAACCTCTTCCTTTTGTGGAAGCATTACAAATGACATGATAACCAGCGCCTCACTGCCGTGCACAAGGGGTGCCACGGCACCAGAGGCAGGCGAGGCTGGGCATCACTCTGAAAAAGTTCTGAACCGACTACACCTGCCACAGGGCAGCAAGCAGGCCTGGGCGGCTACACCTCCCTGCAGGTCAGGAAGAGCTGTGTTCTCTTGTCCTCAGATCTCACTTGTGTAATTCAAGGAAAGCCTGTAAAAAAGAAAGGGCCCAATTATGATTGGCACACATGACGTGGAGGGGGTGTCATGGGGAAGACTAGCACAGAGAAGACAAGTAATGACTCTGTGGCATCTTACTGTGCTGACGGAGAGGGACTGCAGTGGGGTGTGGGAGGACGATAATATGGGTGAATGTAGTAACCACAATGCTTTTCATGTGAAACCTTCGTAAGAGTGTGTATCAATGATACCTTAATAAATAATTAAAAATAAAAGTAAAAAAAGAAAGGGCCCAGGCTGGAAGATGAGAGGGGTTGTGGGTGGGGTCTTCCTGGGAGAAGCAGGAATGAAAGCAGCATCGGGGGGCATGAGTCCTTCCGAAGAAGGGGGTCATGGAGGCAGGGACCATAGGAGCACATCCCAGCAGTGAGTAGCACCTGCCACCTTCCGAGCAGGGAGATGCGACCAACTGTTTGCTCTGGAAGGTAGGGCAGGGAGTGGGTTGGGTGGCCGTACAGTTGGGATGAAGGGACAGGATGCTGGGACAGGACGATGGCCCAGCATTTCACAGGACTAGGACCCAGAGACCAGGGTGACAAGGATTCACAGTGTCCCAGCTGTGTGTCCCTGTCCCCTTCATCTTGACTCTGCAGGCAGAGGAGCTAGAGGGACTCCGGTGACTGTGCTCCTGAGGCCAGAGGTCAGGGTGGGGGTACAGACAGAGCACTGAGTGCCCAGATTACAGGCTGCCAGCCTCCCACTTCCCCATCCTCTCCAGAAGCCTGCAGCCTCTCAGCTGCCTTCGCCGCCTCCTGAAAGACACAGTTAGTCATTAGGAAATTAATGACAGTGTATTCAGGACAGCATGTTGGACCCTAACAAGTTTCAATTATTTCTAGTTCCTACCAATCCTGGGAGGAAGAAAGCAGCTTAGCTCATGCCTTGGCTCTTCACATGCCAGACAAGCTGTGTCTGCTGCTGTGTTACCACCTCTTAGCGGGTCTCTGAAAGCTGCACTGCCAACCACAGCGGCCAGGCCAGGGCCTGGGGTGGGCCTGGCTCCCCCCGGACAGACCGGCCCGCCTCAAGTTCTCCACGCACTGTGTTCCGCTTCCTTTCCCTCCATCAGCAATGTGCGTGTGCCATCCCCCGCCCTCTCAGTCGCCGTCTCCATGGTCCTTCCCGGGGAAGTGCACCCAGGACCCCGTGTTTATAAGTAATTCCATGGTGCTGTGGAGGATGCAGGGAGCCAGGAGGGAGGGAGCCTAATAATTACCATCTGCTTGGAATGATGTCAGATCAAGCTGTGGGAAGCCTCATTGCACCCGGTCTTTCTGATTGTCACATACATCCCACCACCAGAGATTTGGGGGTGGCCACGTTATCTCAAGCTCGAGCATCTGGGGCGGTGGGGGTGCAGAGCCTTCTTGGCTCTCTATTAGATGACTAGGTGACTAGATGGCTAACAGGGCCAGGAAAACAGTTATACACAGAAGGCAGTCCCAGTGGTAACTGTGTCAGTCCTCTGAGGGGTCCCTCGCACCCCAGCTACAGAGGCCCCCTTTCCCTGCCATGGAGAGAGGTCTGGAGTGTTTGACCTGAGTCTGGGTGGAGGGCAGGCCATCTGCTGGCCTTCCGTGGACTCTACATCCATGCTAGGCCTCCGCGGGAGAGAACTGACAGTGTCATCTCAGCCACCCCTTGATGCTCTGCCTGAAACACAAGGACAGTTCACCTAGTAGCCAACCAGCACCCTAGGGAGCAGGGTGCTGCTCTGAAACACACTGAGGGGGAAGCCCTCTTCCTAAGGCCACACTGCCAACAGCCGGAAGCCACTGTTCCGTTCCCACTGGCAGCCCCCAGGGCCTTGCCAGCCTGCCCTCCTCCCTTGCCCTGCTGCCACTGTCCTCACAACAAGCTCCTGGGGAGGCAGGGCAGCCGCTGAACTCAGGGGAGATTTTGTGATGACCAGAGTGATGGGGCAAAAATCAGAAAGCCAGTAACCCGGGCGCTGGCCCTGCTGCCCTGCTTGGGGAAGCATACAGCACAGGGGGCCCAGGATACTCCCTTGGAAGGTCAGAGTCAACAGATATGCACCTGACCTTTCTTACCTGGTTGCTGTAGCATTTGATTGATATTTTGTTAGGAAGCACCATCAAGGGGTTCCTCCTACATCCTCCCCATCCCTTGCTGAAGGAGTGGCTCCTACCCAGTCACCAACCTATCCCTGGCCTGAGCCTGGAAACGTGGGGGCTGCACCTGCCCAGAGGCACAGCTGCGGCCCACCGGGCATCTGAGGCACCCCCACTCAGATGAAGGTAACCGGATGTGCTCTGGAAGGCAGGTGAGCATGCATGGGGAGTCCAAGACAGACACACTGGAAGGAGAGAGAGGCTGACGGAGCCGTGTGATTCAAGGTGCTGCAACCAGCCGGGACCCTCGCTGACCCCACCCCCTACAGCTACCCTGAGTCCTGAGCATCTCCCAGAACCCTATGCTGCCCATATCTGCATTCCCATGAGACGGGGTCAGCTTAGAGCCAGCACCAGGCAGGCTGCTCTGCAGATGAGGGGCTGGCAGTGAGAGTGGTCCTTACGGTAGACACTGTGATTTACGCCAGGGGTGGAAAGTTGGGCTCCAACCGTGCATGGAAGCAGCTGGTTCTGACCCCAGAAGATAAGCATCCTGCATGTACCTGCCAGGAAACACTAGCCATTGGATTCCCTGGTAAGGCTCCCTGGTTTAGCCCGAAATAGTCATGGATATTCATCAGTCTGATTGTGGCAGGGCCTGGGGTTCACCCTGGTACTCTCATCAGCCCAGTGGGCTGGAGTCAGCGGACTTCCTGCTCTAGGCCCTTCACACGAAAGAGCCAGTGAGTCACAACTGCCCTTGACTGCCCATCCCAGCTCAGACAGACAGGCTCTGCTGCTGACAGCCACCACCGGCAGAGAGAGAGAGAGACAGAGAAAGAGATAGGAACAGAGAGAGGTAGAGAGAGAACTGCTCCATCCAGCCCAACCCACCCTTCTCCCTGCCACCCAGGAACTGTCAGGCTCCTAGAACATTCCCCAGCTGCCTCTGAGCCCTTCCCCTATTGCTTGCAAAACAGCTCCACTTTATCTTGTTTATATGCAAGGTTTCTAATATTTTGAGTAAACAAGAGAGGTATTGCCTTCTTTCTCTCTCTGAAAAGAAACAGCACACCTGTACACCCTGATGAGAGCGGCAGAGACATCCAGGGCCGCCTGGACTTCCCTTCTATTTTAGGGAAACTTTCAGAGCAATGAAAGTATTGTTGGGCAGCTGTGTCTGGGTAGATCTCTCCCTGCGCTCCAGGTGAAGCCTCAACCCCCAGGAGGGGTTCTTGACTCTGACTGGGAAAGAATTCTCAAACAGGTCAGAATAGTGTGGATAAGGAAAGAATTCATTAAACCAAGAGCAGAAGCAAATGTCAGCAGCTGTGCTGCAGCAGAGCACGGTGCGGGGAGGAGCAGCAGGAGGTGGGGGAAATCATTGAACTGCTCTGTGTGGGTTGGATCCCTGACAACTCCTGAGGCCAGGGTCACCTGGCGTCGTGTCCTCGTGATCTGCACTATGGGGGAATTATATCCCAGCACCCCAGAATTTGGGGGAGCTGCAGAGCACTGAATGGAGTAAGATTGTGTTCTGAGAACTTCTTCCCTACTGGTCTGAAATGAAACAGGGAGAGAGAAAAGGACTGCGTTAAGACAAGAGAGTTGAGTGAGACAGCGAAGAGACACTTTCCACAGAGGTGGAGTTCAGCAAGTTCTTGTCTTTGTCATGGAAAAGAGTTCAGAGACAAGTGCAACCGGCTTGTGCAGCAAGAAAATGTATTTAATACAAGACAGTACACACTCAGACGCTTGGGCGACCTCAGTAGGGAGGCCCACCTTAGGGTTTAGGGCTGGGGTTTTAGGGGCCTTTGCTAGGGAAAGCATGATGTATACAGGTGGTTCCTAATTCCTTTGAAGTTTTGTTTTAAGAGTAGGGTTGTTCAGGTGACTGTTAATCTGGATCTCCGCAAGGGGTCATTTACACTCAGAGGTCTGTTTCTCATCCTGGTTACAAAATTAATTAAGCGGCTGGAAGAAGAGGAAGAATAGCTTAAATTAAGAATAAACTGGGTTTTTTTCACAGGCTAAGTAGGCTTTACAAAGGCCTGACCCTTGTCCCATTTCCCTGCTCTCTCTCAAAGGTGACAAACAGATTCCACCCCTTCTCTAGTCCACTCAGGCCCTAAAATGCAAGCTGCTATCTTTGTTTCAGTCACTCGCCCTCCTCCTGCCTCCGGCCACCTGCAGACAAACAGCAGGTGAGAGGGAGCAGAGCCGCCACCCACCCACCACCCACCCCCGCCTGGCTCTGGGGGAGGACGCCACAGAGGTGCCCCAGGTGCTGTTGCTGCAGATGCCCCCCAGCCCTGCCCTCTGATAGTAAGTTCTCTGAAGCGGTCTCCTATGCACTTGCCGTTCTTTTCACTAGAGGTCCTGGAAGCTTCTGTCGGCTCAGATGAGCTCCACTAGCAGTGGACACATTTGAACACAGAAGCGTTTGGTGGGCTGTTCCTGTAACAGCACGACCCGACCCGGCTCTGTCTATGCCATCCTTTAGAAATTGCTCTGCCTTTCTCCTTTAATGGGTTAGCCTCCTGCCTTCAGAGACTCCTGAGAAGGGTTTTTAAGGTGAAAATTCAAGAATGTAAATGTTGGGAAATAAACCTTTAAGGTGTAAATTAAGAGGAAATCCCCTTTGCTATGGGAGGGCTCACCAGGGGGAGTCTGCTGAGCTCCCTCCCAGTTGCCGACCCCCCACAGCTCCTCGGACCCGGATCACCAGGCACCACAGCATGCCGGCACTGGGCGGCTGAGGAGTTTGCAGACCAGAGAACACAGGCAGCAGGATGCCACCAGGCCTCAGGGTGCTGCCCGGCCCCCCAAGAAGAGCCTGGGGCCCCATGGGGGCCCTGTGGAAGGAATCCAGCTAGCAGGAGGGCTCACCTGGCTGGCATGTAGGGAAGGCAGGTCCCTTCCCCCGCCAGCCTGACTCCCTGACAGGCCTGAGGTGCCCCAGCCCAC